TGAAAGTAGTTAGATTATTTAAGAAATTTTGTGAATCAATAAAATGGGGGGAAAGGAATGGAAAACAACTGTGGACATCTGAGATAGTGTGGGAGGAGGGTGGGGAAATGGCAGAGGGTGAGAAATAGGGGGAAAATATACATATATGTATATATGAAACTAGAAATGGAAAATTATTGATGATAACATGTATGATTAAGTCACTATGCAGCATCTTCTGGATGGAAAATTACATTTTGTATGCTGTGAAATGCTCAGTGAATAAATGTAAATTAATTAATTAAATAAATAAATAAAAATAAAAAGAGGTATACATTGAAGTCTAAGAAATACATACTTCATTAATATTTTTTCAGAGACTCTCAAGTAGCTTTGTATGAAAATTAAGTCCCACATCAGGTGATAGATGGCAAAGATAAGAAGCTAGGCATGACAGATGGATGCAGAGAGGCAATGACATGTCCAAAGCTGGCAAAAATTAAATTTTTGTGTCTGTTTTTGCCCTGGCATTATTTTTTGTGGAGGCCAAAAGCCCCACATCTTTATATCTCCTTTCTAGAAATTAAAATCTGCTTGGAGGGGCAGATGCTCAGGATGGAGAGTTCGAACATAGCTCCTAACTCCACCACATATTTCTTGAGCTGTTTTTTTTTGTTGTTGTTTTTTGGGTTTTTTTTTAACCTTTCCAGGTGAGAAGGGGAATGGTTTGGAGCCAGTAACAGTCGCTGATGTTCAAAAGTTGTTCTTACAGATGCTTACATTTAACATCTTTCAACTACGGGCATTAAAACTCTGTCTAGGCAGCAGCCTGCTAAATTCTGGACTATGAAAGCTTTGACCTGCCTGAGTAAAATGCCGGAGAGAAAGGACAGAGAGGCACATGTGGGTCGCCAATCTGGGACTTTACAGCATCTGACACTATTTTTAGGAACTGCCATTCCACGTATGATAGCCATCTTTGTGTCTGCGCATATTCCTTTAATATGAATTAAAATTATAAAATGAAATAGATTCCTTTTTGTATTTGCTACTTTTCTGATACTGCTATTAAAAAAAAAAAAGTCATTATACAAATTCATTTTAAATAATTCCCTTAACAGAGAGGTCAAGAAAAATTTTCTGAGCATTTCCTTGAGAGACAATTGAGGGCTGATTTATCTGTCCTGGATGGTGCCAGGAATACAGAGGCTGCTTAGTCAAACTTTGTGTAGTGAGTGGTTGTCCCTATTCCAGGGTGTCGGTAACAGGAAAAGAGGCCCCTGTCTGTCTAAAGTGGTTTGGATGCCATTCAACAGATAGATTAATTTAAGGGTTAGACGCCATGATCCTCTGCACTCTCTCTTTTTTTCCCCTTTTATACCAATAACAAACACTTCCCTCCCTTTGATTCTGAGAAATGTCATAGTATAGTGAAAAGATTCTGAACTTCCAATTCAGAAAACTGGAATTTGAATCCTGAGGTTTCCCCTCATTGTCTGTGTGAGTTGAGGAGAATTAATTATTCTAAATTAGATTTTTCATCATAAAATAAAGCCATAGGAAGAAAGAAGTATCAAATGTACAATGTGTAGATGGCAGGGGCTTTTTAAACTATATTTTCTCCCTACTCTCCAGCCCACTCAGGAAGTGCTGAGTGACAGTCAACGGTGGAGAATAGGGCCAGCAAGTGGTGTGGAGGTTTCCACTGGATCCTGGTGGCTTGAAAAACACATGGGTGGGTGCATGTGCGCGTATGCTAAAAATCCCAAAAAGAGAATGGAAGAACAAGGATTGCAGACTGACCACTGCCACCACCACCACCACCCCCAGGTGGGGGGGTTCTCATCCCCTCTTCCCCCTGTCTCTCTCCAGGGAGCACATGTTCCAAAACTTAAGAAAAAGATGGAGGACAATGTAAGTAGTGGAGTAAACAGAAACCAGCTGATATAATTTACACATTCACTCATTTGGTCATCATCCATTCAATTCACGTTGATCAAGGCTGTCATGGTATTGTGCTGAGAGATGGGAATAGAGATGAGTGAGACTTGGACCCTGACCGTCCACTTGCACCACAACCCTGGAGAAAACCAGGGGCAGATGCCTCTCAGAAGTGCCTAAGTGCTGAGCAGATTCAAAGCCAAAGTGGGTCTGAGGCACTGAGACCATTCAAGCTAGTCAGCATCTTCCGAGCCAGCCCTGGCTCTAGGCCCCTCTGTTTCCTGGTAACGACAGACCACTGTTTTCCTGACTGAGAGACAGAGGGTTCCTAAGATGAAAGCAGCTCACACCGCCCTGGCTTACTGAGTAGACTGGAAATGGCTGAGACTTCCTTCTCTTTTGCACATTTCTTTTCAAAAGATTTTGAGGGCAGATAAGATGACCTCAGACTAAAGCTGGAGGGCCTGCTGGGTCTGCATGGAATATATTTGTCTTTTTTTTCTTTTCTTTTCCTTTTTTTTTTTTTTTTTTTTTTTTGGCAGGCTAGGATCTTTAGAAGGACTTATGGGGGAGTGTTCTTTTGCCTATTTCCTTTCAAATGTTTATTTTTTTTTTTTTGAGAGGTTTTCGCTCTAGGGCGCATGCACTCGCCAGAAAAACAGAGAGAGACAGAGAGATAGAAAGCGAGAAATCACCCGCAGGGGGGATGGCCACACCACAATCTCTTCTCCTCCATTCTCCTCTCGGGATCTGGGGCACGCATGCACACGCGCCCGGCGTGAGTTTAAGCCGCCGGGTCCAGGACTTGAACCGCGGTTGACTACGTGGGAGTCCAGTGGCATAGCCATTACGCTAACTGCTAGTCCCAGCAAATGTTTACTTTTGAGTGAATTCATAGGAAAACAAATTGACCGTGCCCCTTTACTCAGGATACTGTAATTGACAGCATTCTTTAAGTTGATTTTAGTCAGAATTTTCTCTTTAGACCAATTAAAATGTAAGTAGAAGTAAACAATCTCATTAATTCTTTATAAAGGAAAAGCTTTCAGGATAGAGATAATAGCCGTTATTGAATGCTTACTGATATACTCATTGCTTTTCTTTATTATTTACCTTGATTCTCAATACAACTGTACTAGGTAGGTATGACAATCTTCATTTTGCATGTAAGTCCTGGACTGGAGAGGTCACTCAGCCAGTAAAGAACAAAACTAGGTCCTATGTGACTCCGAAGACCACAACCTACACGGTGTTTCCAGCCCTGGCATCAGTGCTGTATGATATGAATAAAATATGGTGCAATATATGTGGCACGATTTATAATGCTACCATTACAAAATGCCACAGAAACCCAACCCTGGGAACAAACATCCTCCTATGAAGGCTGCAGAACGCTTCACAGCCATCTCATTTTAGAGGCAAGAAAATGAAGCTCTAGGAGATTGTGACTTGGTCCGGGTGCCAGAGTGGCAAAGTTAAGGCAGAACCAAAGGCTTCAGTCAAAAGTTTTGTACAAATAAGGACATGCCAACCCACTATGCCTCCAAGTGTTAGAGCTGCACAGCAGCTAAAAATAATTTATGGGATAACTAGAAAGTAAAAAGACCAAAGTTTAGCAGTGCTGGAGTAAATTTTTCTCCAAGCCCTTCAGTTTACACACGACTAGTGCCCCCAAATGGCTGTTTCCCCTATCTTGCATCAAACATCAAATTAGAAGTTGAAGTGGTTATGATTGGATGGTGCTCAAAAAGAGTTCATGTGGTGGTTAAAGTGCTGGACTCCCACACGACCGACCCATGGTTCGAGTCCTGGACCTGGTGGCTTGAAAATCATGTTGAGCATGAGGAGAAGGGATTGAGACATGGCCATTCCTCAGGGTGAAAAAGTTTGGGAAGCAGGTGAAACTGCTATGTGGAATGTGGAGAGGTGGCAGACTAATTGCTGTATGCTAATCCAGATGCTTTCTGCACCATCTGAGGTGTCTGAGTGTTGCTTTTATCATGTGTGTTTGTTTGTTTTGAGAGAACCATGTTAAATTATATTCCAGCATGGTAGCATTATGTCACACTTAAAGTGTGACACAAAGGAATGAAGAGATTATGGAAAAATTACTAGATTTTTTTAACAATAAACAAGGTCTAGGTTGCACAACTGAAGTAGGGCAGATTATTGAGACACTGGATTGCAAACTATGTTCATCATGACACAAACTACATCTTCTAGCTCATAGTAAGGCTTTATCACTTTGTTCCACTTCTCAGGTATCTCTTTACAAATGACTAGACACATCTGTGCTGGATAAAAATTGATGCCATGGTAAAATTAGCCTCAGGATCTTCTCCAACTTCTACATCCAATGATGAATAGCCTCATTCCCTGGTACTGTATTTCTCTTGCCTGAAATATCCTGCTATTCCTTCAAAAACAAGATTTAATCCACTTTTTCCTGCAAAGAAAAAAACCAAGTTGACAAAAGAATTCCTGATCAGGAATTCTGTATTGTTCTTAGCATACTTCTATTACTAGGAGTAATTCTTTACTCCTCAATTGCTTTCTTTCCAAGTAGTTGAAAAAGAATATTCAGTTTAAGAAAAAGTTTCAAATCCATTGTTGTCTTTTATTATCATCTTTAAAATGTCATATAATGCCCTTAGAAATTACCCAGCTTGTTACTGTAGCTGGAGAACACTTAGATCTTACTCATCAGCTTGCTGAACTGTACCCTTCTCAGGGACATAGATACCAGCCAAGAACTTTCTTATATCCTTGTTTTTAACTGTCGTGGCTTGCTATATCAAAGCAGCTGAATTTGAAATAAGTTCAATATCATTGCCTTCAAAGATCAATTCATCTTTCTGGGCTTGAGATACATAACAAGCAACACCTGGTCTCATTCGAACCCTCCCAAGAAATTTCAGATTTCAACAAGAGACCCATTCTCCTGAATAATGACGTTGATGGGGAAATGAGCGTACACAGGCCTCATCTTGTAGAGGAAACCCAATGTAACACCCTTGATCACGTTCTGTACGTGACTACAGACAGTGTGAACTGTAGCCAGTTCCATTCTGTTTCCTCACCATTTGTCAATCCCACAGCCTCTTCCTTTTCTTTCTGAGGAGTCTGAGCTCTACATTGATGTGCTTGAAGTCCCTCTGCAGGGTTCCTCTGTGACCCTTCAGAGTGATGTCAGCATTCTCTGGAATGTCGACGCTCTGATTGCTGAGAATGGTCTTCATCCTCACAGTCTTTGTTGCATCACAGAACTACTCCAAAATTTAGCAGCTTAAAACCTTTTTGTTTTGTTCATAATCACATGTTGTATGGATTGGGAATTCAAGCAAAGTATAGCGGGGATGACTTATCTCTGTCCCAAGATATCTGGAGCCTCAACTGAGGTAAGGCAAAAGGTTAATAGCTGACTAGGCATTTCTGTCTCCATGTGGCCTGTTACTTAGGCTTTCTGGCAGCCTGGCAGTCTCAGAGTAGTGGAACTTCTTCCACAAAAGCTCAGGGTTCCAAAAGACAAAGACAGAAACTGCCAGTTCTTTTTAAAAAACTACATTCAGATTACATTGGTCATGACGGTTATGAACCAGCCCAGACTCAAGAGAAGAATAGAACACACCCATGTCTTTGACGGGAAGAGTGTCAAAACATGTGAGGTTGTCTTTCATTCACTGCATATACTATGAGAAGGCAACAATGAAGAAAATAATTTCTGTCCCATTTTCTGTGCTGGTAAAAACTCAGGCTTGACCAGCTCAGCCAGAGGAGATACTAAGAACATTAAGATCTCATCACTTAAAGAATGCAGGAAAACCCAAGCCAACTAAGAGGAAAAGGAAAAAAAAGTAAGACAAGCTGTGTCTTTGGGGCAATATAATACATTAGAGAAAGGTCAAGACAGCTACTAACTTATTATGGGACTGGGGTAGATCCACTCAAAGCCAGAGTATTCATGTTTGTTAATTGGGGATGACCCTGAATATCACTTGGGGCTGGGTTTGAAGGTTAGATAAGAGGACATATTCAGCTGGGCCCCCAAAGAACACTGAAAGCAGAATGTGTGTGAAAAGTATTATGTTTTCTGTAAATAATAGTAAAGGAGTGAGAAATTATGACGGTTAGTGGTAGGAGGTCAAGTAAGAGTGAGATGTTAAGCCAAATCTCATGGGGAGTAACTGGTTAACTCCCACAGAGCTTTCTTCTTCTTCATTTCCATTTCCTTATATCTATCATATATCTATGTATCTCTATCTAATCTATCTATCTATCTATCATCTATCTATATGTTTCATGATAGAGGGGGAAAACGAGAAATATAAGCACTTTCAACAGGTCTCACCCTGTCATCCCTTTCCTCCCTCAGCCAGCCAGAATCATGGGTGCAGACACCACATGTTCAAGTTGACCAGGAAACTGAATTCTCCATCTTTCAATGGAATCTGCCTCATCCAAGAAAAGCATGATCACTGCACCACCACGCTGGCCCCAGCCACAGGGTTTTTGTTTTCCGAAAAAAAGCGTGCAGGTGACAGCACAGGAGAAACAAGGGAGCTGCGGTCTTAATTTCCTTCTAGATGTTTACAATGTCATACCCATAAGTCATTAGGGAAAGGCTGCCCCAGGAAGATCTCAATTCCCAAGCACTTTTAGCTCCCTTGTGGCCAGAAAAGCAGGCTCCAGTATCTTGAGGGCAGCCCTCTAACAGAGAACATGCAGTTTCAGGCAGGAAGATCTGTAGGAAGATCTGTAAGAAGCTGGCGTGCAAGAGAACACTGCTGGGTTGAAGGGGTACGAGCAAGGCACTGTAGCTGAGCTGTGATGTATAGATCAGCCGCTCGTCACTGCGTGTGCCTGTGCTACCCCTAAGTAAACAGAAAAAATTCTTACTTTTTTTGATGCTATTATTGGTGAGTGATATAAATTACTTCATATTCCTCCAAATTCTGAAGAAGAGGATCCTGGAAGAAAATGTAAAGACAATTTATCTCAAACCCAGGGCTCCTTTCAGCTTTGTTAAAGTCCTATGGGACCTATTATCTCTGTCTGTGTCATCTGCTTCACGTCACTGTTTTGATGGAAGGAAGATTCAAAGGCAGGGGTAAGAGAATAGCTTTCCATTTACTCGTCTCCGCTACCAGTCCAACGCTTGTCAGGGTAGTGCATGTCAGTCAAGCAGACTTTATTTGGCCCGAATTGCCTCTGCAGCTTTATCATTACCCTTTAGGTATGGGAGAGGGGGAACACCCCCAGCATCTGATCTCTCTCTACAATCTCCTGGCTCTCTCTGATGACACTGTCCAGAATGCACTTTGGCCCAGTCATCAGGATTTCCGGAACACGAAGCTAACATGTTCAAACAATCTTGTTCTCTTTTTCTCTTTGAACTTCCTTCAGAGCCTTGACTCATGTTACTGGCAGAGAGTTCTTCAGCGTAGCCACCGCTTATGGATCTCACCTAACTCAGGGTAGTCTTTGAAGTTGTCCCTGTCCCTTGTCCTTATCTGTTAAAGGATGGTGTTATGCATTGAATGGTGTCCATGTTACCCCACCTCATCCCACCACAAAATGAAAACATGTTGAAAACCAAACTCCCAGTACCTCAAAATATGACTTTATTTGAAAATAGGGTCTTTATAGAGGTAATCCAGTTAAACTGAGGTTGTTAGGGTGGGTCCTTATCCAATGTAACTGGTGTCCTTATAAAAGGTGGAAATTGGGGCACAGAGAGTCACACACAGGGGAAAGATGATGTGAAGACACAAAGGGAGAGTGTTAGGTGGTAATGAGGCAGAGATCGGAGTAATGCATCTGTAAGCAACTCCAAAGATTCTGAACACTTCCAGAAGCTTAGAAAGAGGCAAGGTAAGATCTTTCCCCTAGAACTGTCCTGTTGACATTTTTTGAGTATATGACTTCCAGAACTGTAAGACAACAAATTCCAATGTTTAAAAAAAAAAAATCACTCAGGACCAGCAGGTGGCATGGTGATTAAGGCGCTGGACACTCCCACATGGCCGACCAGGGTTCAAGTCCTGAATCTGGTGCCTTGCTTTCTCACTTCCTCTCTCTCTCTCTCTGTCTCAACCTCTGTCTCTCTCTGGTCAAATTAAAAAAAAATAAATGAATGAATAAATAAAAATAAAATAATTATTTTTAAAAAATCACTCCATTTGTAGCTCTTTATTATGGCACTCCTAGCAAATAAATATAGCAGGATCACTGAGAACTCTAAAAACTGGCTGGAGAAACTTTGCAAGCTACTTCCCAAGTTCTCTGGACCTCAGAGTCCTTATCTGATACATCTGGAGAATGGGTTTAACAGCTGTAAGTCTCCATGGCGTCTGCCAGATCCCTCCAAAAATGCATCCTATCCCACATGGTTTTCCTCAGTTGATCATACTGATACCCATTAAGTCCTCTCATCGAATATGGGTGCACTCGTGACTCAGGTATAACCAACAGAATGAGGTGGAAACAGCACTACTTGACTAAGGTCAGGACATAGAAGCTTCCACCTTATCTGCTAAACACTTGCTGTAAAGCCCTGAGCCACCATTTTTGAGCCTGACTCTCCTGAGGCTGCCATGCTGGGATGAAGCCCAGATCAGGTGGAAGGGTCACAAGCAGGTACTCCAGCTGACAGTCCCAGCTGTGATCCCAGCAGAGCATCTGCATCCACCACCAGACACGCCAGTGAAGATGTCCCGGATTATTCTAGCTCTCACCTATGACGCTTCTCCTGCCTACGGTTTTCCCAGTTGACACGTCATTTCTGCTGTGTTTGTCCTAAATTCTGAAACCACAGAACCCATGACCATAATAAAATCATTGTGGTTATATGCCTGGGAAAAATTCATTATGCAGAAATAATAACTGGGCCATCCAGTCTCCATGGCGTCTGCCAGATCTTAGTGCTGAAAGTCTAAGAACTGGTCTGCAGTATTCTGAGTAGAGCATGCAGAGCCTCTGGGGAGACCAGGACTGCCTGTAAGTCCTGTGAGGGCCCCTTCTCCTGCCCCTCTTTGCTCTCCTTGTGACGTGCCATGGAGGAAAGCCAGCGGAGTGCTGGCAGTGCTGAGCGGGGTAGCCCTAGCACTGCGCACCAGTTTCTAACTTGTTGCATCTCAGCTCGATTCCACTATCCCATGCTCTACTTTCTGGTGCTGAGGCCAGGACTCTGCAAACTACATTTCAGCTTTTTGAGCTGCTCCCAGAAAGCAAGGCTGGAAAAGGACAAGTTTTGCTTCACTGTGAGCTTCACCTCCGCGAGGCTTCTTCACCCTGGCAGCAGCGCCTGACAATGGCAGTGT